TTCGTTGCTTATGGAAGCAAGGGAGCAATCGATTTGTATGGAAGCAAGGGAGCAATCGATTCGTATGGAAGCAAGGGAGCAATCGATCCGTAGTACTATATTTCCGTGTTATTCGTGTAGAGCAAGCAACAACAAGCAAGAAGGAAGCAATCGATTCGGAGGAGCAATMGATTCGTTGCTGTGTTATTCCGGAATAGCAACACCCCCAGTACCAGTAGTATTGKGCCTGAGGTGCTTGTAGGAATCAGTAGTAAKGAGTYCGTGTGGAGGTGTTTATTTCCAGTAGTAAGCAGTACTCTTAGTACTGTCGACTTCCAGGTTTTTTGTTGTACCTTCATTCCCCAGTAGTTAGCACTCTTACGAGTACTTCGAAGTACTTGGTCAATTAAGGAGTGTACTCGTGTACTTCAAAATTTCACTAAGTTTTTTGGTATTGTCTGTCCAGTAGTAAGCCTTCCTCTTAGAAATACTTGTGTTTCAGCGAGTTGGCGATAATTTGTGTGTGTGTAGAATCCTACGGACTTTGTACTGTGTATTTATTATTGTATATTTTGTTACATGTACCCACACGATAAATTTTTTCATCACGCTCACATTTTTTTGCTCCTTGCTTTCATTCCCACTCTTTCTGTAATTAGTCGAACTAGTCAATACATTACTACTAGTACGTTCCTACCGGTACCGGTTTCAGATCAATAATTGAATCTGTATTGGTTTTCGACTGGGTGGGTTGTTCCTGTAACTTATGTTTGAAGTTACTACTGGTACTACTCTAGCTACTAGTAGTAGTGACTTCAAATTGATCCTGATGTAAATTCTACAATGTTTTATTACCACTTTTACACCAAGTACTAGTAGTAGTACTAGTACTAGTACTAGTAGTAGTAGTGCAGACCCAGAGGAGCTACTACTATGAGTACTACAAGTAGTAGTGATTTTCGGAAAGGTTCTTATTGCTTCCTTCTTGGCGTTGCAGGAATGACAAGGACTGCCGAATGACTGGATACATGAATACTCATCTCCCTCATGACCAGCAATTTTGTATCACCTTTTAATTCTGTCGGAACAGCAGTTTATTGCAGCAGCAGGAAAACCCTCGTTGTATCAATCAACTTCAGTACTGCTGCCAGAAATTCATGATATAGTCATAGAGGTTTGACATGTAAGCAAGGATTATTACTCTTTGCAAAACTCTTCAGGAGGTGCAAAGGGATTTCGCAACCAGCCCTCAGTTCCCTTTGAGGAGCGATCCCCAACCATAATTTCTCTGAGCATAGACAACACAGCAGATGTAATTGGACCTGCTTCGGTTTTTCCGTGTTCAAAGACAGCTTCGAATGGTTCCTCATCCGTTCCAGTCGCCAGTCGAGCAATGGGCACGACTTCGGCCGCCGTTCCCGTGCAAAAAGCCTCGGTTGCATTTTTCACCTCTCCTACGGTGACATCTCGCGAGGAAACAGTAATATTGGCATCTTGTCCGGTGCTCTTCATCATTGCCTCCTTCAGATCATCGGCAAACTCATTGACAATGGTGATGACGGAGTCACGGGTTACACCGGGCAAAATTGTTCCCCGATCCAGGGAGGGTGTCACGATCTCTCCTGTTTTCAAGACAAAGAAGATATTGGCCGCTGACATTTCTTGTAAAATGGCGGAATCCAAGGAACCCTTTTCTCTGTAGGTTTCCAGCTCCAAAAACAGATTGTCATGAAAACCCTGTTCTTTAGCGTCCATCAAGGGCTTGAGGGCCACTGCATAATTGCCACTGCACTTTACATTTCCGACCCCACCACGTGCCGCACGACAACGTCTAGTTTCTAGGTGCAAATTAAGACCACCAGTGGCACTTTTGAAATAGTTACCCTGTTCGAGTTTGAATTCGATGCAAACAAGCAGTTGAGCAAATGCGGTGCAATTTCATTAGGTTCTGGTCGTTTTATGCGAATTCGGATGGTTTAAATAAAATGGGAAAATGTACGCTATTCGTTCTTTCATTCAATGCAGATTTTTCCTCGAGCACTTACGGTTGGCGATACATAGAAAATCAAACTAAACTGCTTCGAAGGATACAATCCAAGCTGCTCCCCGCTTCCCATTAGCATGGGTCGCACATACAACTTCATTCCTTCTCCATGCGGCGGAATAAGGTGTGAATTTTTCTGGAGTGCGTGCTGGATGCCTCTCATGAACAATTCACGACTCGGTGGGGGCAAAACCATGTTCTTTGCACCGTTAGAAAAGCGGTGAAAGTTGCGGTCGGGTCGAAAAACAATGGCGTTTCCATCCTTGTCGCGGTAGCATTTGAGGCCTTCCCAGATGGTTGTTCCATAGTTGAGAGAGCAACACGCCGGGGAGAGGGGCAGGTCGGTCTCGTCGTACTTGTACACAGAGTCAAAAAGCGCCCCAGTATCGGTTGTGGGGTCATAATGCTCCTTCGTCCATTCGCCTGTTTTGGTTGTCAGATGCACGTACGAGTGTTCTTCCGGATGATTCAGATTCCACGGCAAGGCCTCGAATTCAATTCCCTCTTTCGCGGGCTTCAGGTCGGAGCAATGATCGGATGCCATTTTGACGGATTTTTTTGCGTAGATATCGAAAAAGATTACGGATGAAATACCGCTGTGTGTTGTTTTTGTGCGAGGTTATCTTCCGTGAACGCCGGAAGTATTTCAATGGGATATTCAGAATACCGTAAGACGACGATGTTTCATGAATGTCAACAAATAAAATACATGATGATGACGATCCTGGACCATGCCGTATTATCGCGTACCAAACGTGATGTAGTGTTTACCGGTACTGCATCACCACCTAAGTATCTCGTATCGGTACAACATATGTGCTTCATCACCTTCGAGAAGAAACGAATGAAAGAAGATTTCCTCACGATTCCGTTCTGATTGCCCGAACATTGGGTCCGTGATCAGAAACGGATCTATGGTACGTATCTATGGTACGTACTTGTACTAAACATACAAAAACAAATGCACGACTGAGAAAAAGCCGTTAAATTATGTTTTCAACGGCCGATCCTACGGTTTGAACGGATGGACTGCTCCAGATCTTTCTCCGTAGTTCAGATTCAGATTTTTAACGTGACTTCCGAAAGAAGAAACCAAGACTTCTGCGATGGGTTCGTTCGAAGATCAATGCATCACCATTGTTTCTTGCAGACATTCCCATCTTTTCACATCATCTTCCACTCTCACTTCAGATAAGTAGAAACAAGTTGCATAGTTACTTTCTTTACCGTGGTTGATATAGTCGCAAAAGAGAACATGAGGTTTGAGAGCCAGGATTTCATCATGTCACAACGTGAATGGCAGGAGAATAGAAGAGCGAAAGCGAATGATCACAGCGCAACGAAACAAGACAGTAGTTTGTCTCGTGATGGGACTCAATATAATGCTAGTGGCTCTGGCCTCAATCGAAAACAATATGGGTACTCGTCGCAGACCAAAAATATAGCTAGGGATGACAGTCGTTCCTCTACTCAGAAGAAAAACGCCGTCGCCCAACACGAAGTTCGACAGGACCGTAGAGATGAACCAGACTCCGACTCAGACTCAGACGTTGATTCTCGAGACGAAAGTACTCCAAATGTTCCATCTGATTTTTCAAAAAAAGAGCTCCAAGAGCTTGTACGATCTAGGCGAAGACAAAAGCAAGATCAGTCGACGCAGGTAGGGCAATCTCAAGAACAGAGACAAACAAGCACATATTCATATCATGGATATGCTGACAAATTTCGTCAGGAATCGTTAGATTCGTTCGTTGCTGCACGAAACAAAGTCAAGGAATCCAACAGAGATCTAGGCGTCGAAAACACCAGGGGAATGGATTGTCTGCTCCTTTGCATGCTACCAACCAACGTGTGGCTTGGTGATTTTCTGAGTGATTCTCGAGGTGATGTCGAAAAAATTCAGAAACAGATGCTTCTTAGCTTTAGAGGCGAACGATGATGTGTCGATCGTTGAAAATCACTGCTTGAGCCATCCTCCATCCGAAGTAGACTGTTTTTTATGTACAACCAAGAGGGCACATCCGTTCAAGCAAGTCAAGACATCCTCTGTATGCTGGGCCACTGTTTCTCCACGATCTAATGCATCTTTCATATTGGCTACAAGCAATTGAATCGATGTAGCCTTTTTGTTCAATTCTCTATTCATTCCAACTGAACAGACGTTTTCAATTTCTACGTTAGCTCTGTGACATTACCATCACATGCCATAACGTCCTAAGAGCACATACATCATAGTAACGAATTAATTTTGAAAAGAGATAGCATTGCAATGCATATGTGATCGGCAGTATTTAATAGTGCATTTAGGTATCCGACGAACATTTTTGTATAAGCAAGGCTGTACTCAAAATTGACGACAATACGATTTGAGCCCTCTAGAGTGGAAGTTGCATCCCTCTTTCAATTGACGAATTGCCATGCAATTTATTTCTCCGGAATGTTCCCGTTTCACTACAATAAGATGTCGCAGCGGTTTTCTTCGAATCGCGCTACACTAATTTAGCGCACCATGCCAGTCATATTTGTAGTTGACTCGCCCATTCTAGAGTTGGCAGTAGTACTGGCAATGACTTCTAAGACTTTTGCGATCTGACTCATGGCTTCGAACTTGAGTTCGGTCAAACTGGAACTAGTAGGTGCCAATTTCTTATCATCGTTGTTGCCACTTCCGCCCTTTTCCGCCTTCTTTAATAGCACTCCCGAAACTTGATCTAATCGTCCGTCAAGAGATCCGTCGAGGATGAGTCCCACAAGAAGGTTTTCAACGTCTCTGACCGGGATATTGTTCAGCTCTCGAGCTATCGCTTGCAATGAAATCCTTGTATAGGGTTTGATGACACGCCGCAAAACCTGGGTGCGGATCGTCCGTAACAAATCTTCTACGTGTTCTCGAATGAATTCATCCCCCATAATTCGTTCTTTGTTATTTTTCAAGATCCGCTCAAACTTGTGAATCTCGTTATTTTGGAAGGCTTGCACTAGATTCGTCATGGCAGCTATCTCAGGGTCGTCTCTGTACGGTCTCGCTTCCTGTGAGTCAAAGGGATTGATGGAAGAGGCGTGAAGCATGCTGGCCAAGACCAAGTATTTGAGACACCGAAGACGACTTGGATCTCCGGCTTCGTCGTAGCTCTTGAAAGCTTGGAAAAAGGTCTTGCCGGCGGCCTCGTATTCTTTAGCCTGCATGTGCATTTTACCTCCTAATTCCTGAATAGAGGCCAACGTTCGTGGATGTGGGATTCCTCCGCGGACTGCCATGGCCTTGTTGAAAACCTGTCGGAGTTTTTTGTTATCCTTTTGGCGAGAATATAATTGAATCTGGAGCGCATAAATTTCGATTGATTGCGTATTGCATGTGCTGCTGTTCCCACCATCGGCCATGCTGTTGATATTGTTCTGTTCTTGCGTTGTTTGGAGATCTCGAAGAACTTGTTGTAGCTTGACGGTTTCGTTCGTTTCGTACAAAAGCTGACCGTACTTGAGATTGGTCTTGAACCACAAACGCTCGTTGGGGCAAGATCCCGATGTCGGGTGAAAAACTTTGAGGGTGGAATCGTAAACGGCAAGCGCGAGCTTTGGCGGATCCATCGAGTTGCTGTTGGCACTGAGATCCATGTCACGCATGGCATTTCCCTGTAGGAGACTGGCAACACGTTCAAGCATCCCGTTGATTCCCTTTTCCACTGCATTCGGGCTGATGTTTCCTTCAGCGACGCATTCCAGCAAGCGTGAGTAGGCTCCTAGCACACTTTGTGTGGTCCCTGTTCGCAACTGGAGTTTCACGAGCTGCTTGATGCTTTTGTAGGACCAAGGGCCGTACTTTTTTGGTTCACCGTCGCCGTCGTGATTCGATGCGAGTTCTTCTCTTTCCTGTATTATGACCTGTTCAAAGGCTTCTGCTGCCTCCTGCAGGTCAGTCTCCCGGAGACCCTTGCTGTTGTAGTAGGCATTTTCTGCGCCGCAAAAGTTTTGTAGTATTGTGCAAACAGATCGTATGTTTCGTTTCGTTTTGGAAACACAAGAGAACATGACAGAAAAGAAATTCCATGACGGGAGAACGATGTGAACGTTAGTACGGTATATATAGTGATGTAATGAAAGAGAACGAACTAAGGAGCAGAAACAAGATCGACATCAAATTTACACGTGACAGACAAGTCCTTGTTTATTTGGCAAGCGGAAAAGAAAAATTAAAAAATCTAACATTCGTTTGAAGATTTGCATATCTACAACCATCGAGAAACGTACCCAAAGCGACCTCAGAATCGTTCGCCTCTTCCTCGTCATCCGTGTACTGGAATCCACCCTCGTCCATATCATCATCATCGTACTCGTATTCATATGACTCTTCGTCCGACATCTTTTCGTTCTTGCCAATGCGATGGCGACTGCTGTTCTGCTTCTGGTTCCGACGTTCTCGCTCTGTGGTTGATCTGTTGGATGGCAATGGAAGCACTAGTGCGCGGACTCAAACTCGTCTCAAGATCGTGTTATGGAGATCGTGTAGTTTGATACCACGGTTGGTTGTTTTTATCTCCAGAACTGTTTTCTGTCTTGTCGAAAATCATAATTTATGTCACGGTAGAAATGGATTTTATTAGTAATTTGGGGGTTTTGCTCCCACCTTCTGTCAATATACCGGCCGGTAGGACTAGTACAATTATGATGGTAGCCGTAGAGTTAAATTGAAATTTTGTATGATTTCCGATTTCGGGGTACCTGTATCTAAATATGGATCCCCGATTGTGAAAAAATTGACACCGGTAAGCACGACACATATCGTACCGTACCGTAACGAAGTTCTTCTATTTTACTTTCAAATACAAGTAATTTCAGGGGGAAAATTTACAGTTCATTAATTCATTACAGTCCCTGTTTCTTGTCACAAGTAAAGTCCATCACGCAAAGCGAAGATGACGCGATGACATTTTCTACCAGAACGCGCACCATCCGATAAAGAGCTGACTTAAATTCTCGACAGAAGTTGCCTGGACGGTCAATCTTTGGACCTGATCTACTACGTCCAAGGATTCACCGTTCTCCCCACGATGATCCTCAAAATCTGTCCCATTCAATTTGTCTTGAATTCGGCGAATGATCTTGAGGGCCTTTTCGTTCAGTGCTTCTTCTGCTGCAAGTCCTTCGTCGCCATCTAAGATGCTGAGCAATTCTCGTTGTCGAATGCTTCGTTCAACCATTCGCGACCTTGCCACGGAATGCGTGCCGGAGGCTGCCATCTGTCCGTGTGTGCCCCCCCCTCCGGTCACGCTTTCTATTCGTTCGTCAGTGCCTAGGTTCGCGGCCCATATTTGGATGTTGGAATACATTTGAAGCGATCGTGCACGAGTAGCGCTCATAGGAAATTCTCTGCCTCTCCCGAGAGGTACAGATGGAATAATTTGTCCGTTGAGAGCATTCGACAATGCCAAATCGTCCTTTCCTTCTTCGTCCTCGTCTTCGTCGCCTTCAGTGATGGGCAACACTCCAGGCCGAGCACCAACGTCGATTGGGACACCTGTGTCCACATCTAGTATCCCATTTCCATTTCCGTTGATGCCATTGTGAGCAGACGATAGCAGAGATTCCGCAATTATATCATCATCGGTGCTGGCATTTGCAGGGTCGGAACTTCCGTTGTTGTTAGAAAGGTCAACCAAACGCCAACCAATCAGAGGATCATACAAAAAGGCCTGAAGCATTGCAACCAAGGAGTCTCTATTTTCTCTCAAGACGGTCATAGTTCGCTCGCAAGTGCTCCGATAGCTTCCTTCAATACCGCTGACCTCCATCGCCTTTATCAGCATCCTAGTCAAACGAAAGGGTACTTTTTCTGGATATTTGTCCCGATTCATGGCAACCTCGAAGCAATCGCCTAACGAACAAACAAATGTGTGAGTACAGATGTATCGAATTGAAGCAAATAAAATTGCTACATCCCCGTTCTCTGTTTCTTACCAAAATCGATGTGCAAGACACGACCGCTGAGCTTGTCGAGCATCAAGTTTGATGGGTGCCTGTCGCCAAGACCTAAAATGTAACCAACCATTGACATGACAGCTAAGCTCCTCGTGTATCTCGTTCTGCGTTCCAACCATTCTTCGCTATTGGTGCTCTTTAGCCATAGAATTTCGTACAGATCGTTTCCCTTTCCGGTGGTCTTCTTCAGTGCGTCGGTGAAAACTTCAACTTTTTGCATGACTGTTAATTGGTCGTAATCTGGAGCAATTCTAAGCATTTCTTTGTGCTCTAAGTTCAACGGAATCTTTTTTGTTTGTCGATAATCTCTGATAAGAGAGTGCAGTGTATCGGTATGTGGAACCCAGCCCACAAGCCCACAATTGTGTGAAAGAGGTGAAATCGCATAACGCTGGATTCTCAGATCGTGTTTTTTTGTTTGACGATCTCTTTCAAGAAGTGCATTCACCAAACCAAACAACTGCATTACGCGCTCATCTTGTCTCAAATCCTCATGTCCTTTAAGCAAAAAGACATAGTCTTTTCCGTCACTCCCTCTCAGGGTAATTTTTCTAGGCCTCTGTTTGCTTGTTATTACCTGGACACTTGGAATGAACTTTTCAATCTTTATGTAACTTCCATCGACCCGATATGAACCGGGTACTCCGAGCTCGAGACTCCAAGCATTACTCAGAGCAGGAGAGCAATCGGTCAGTTCTAATTTTGTTAGCCCAGGAAGTTGTTTATTGATTCGACGAAAAACTGTATAGTAGATGTCCCATGCCTTGTTCATGGCAGTCTCGGCTTCTTCATTTTGCCTAATGTGTCGACCTGATGCATCGTAACCACTAGACGAGTTTGGCCCAGTCGGAATACTATCTCCACCCTCCGATACAAGTCTTATATAGTCTTTGATATGTTGGTGAGCTTGAGAAAGGTCTGAACCAAAGCTGTTGATGAATTCGCTTTCACGTCGCGTGTCGGCACCTTTTTCAATTTTTTCGTGAAGTGGGAGCAACAGATCAAGCATTCCGGATACGTTTCCTTCTCCAAAGTACAAACGTGAGGCTTCTTCAAGGCCCTCGTGCCAAGTTTCCAACCAGAGGATTGCAACCCTGATCAACTCTGACGATACCATCAGCGCTTCTTCTACCAATTCACTTGAATGAGATCTTAAAGAATCCATAAGGCTTTCTGCTGAGTTCTTCCTTTCGGCCACGGGGCTCTTCAACAAGACCGAAAGTGGGTACATCAATGCCTGAGGATGTTTTTCTCCAAGTCGCACAAGCAAAGGATGAAGAACAGATCGAATGGAAGGATTGTTGAGATGAATACGTGCCAACAGTTGCGGTAAAACACCAAGCCAAGTTTCAATTGGAACGGATCCGACACATTCATTAATGACAGAGGCGATCTCCCGTCGATCGCCGTACTGAAACAAGCAAGTCAAGAAATTGAGCATATCTTGTTGTACAGAAGCACTCCACCGTTTGGTCCCAATGCTTATTGCGTTTACGAAGGACTTGATTGCTGCAATTACATGATTTTTCTGTGATGACGACGTAGAATTATTTTTCCGACGCTTTGCACTTCCGTCATCGGTCTCGTTAAGCTGCTCAGCGATTCTGAAGTTCAAAAGGGCCCAGTTATGCCATGCTTTGTACCCCCCATTCATCAACGCTGCACGTTTGAACTCAGATAAAACTTCTACCTGCAGTTCGTCTGGTATATACGAGTTCGGAGCTGTAGTTTCTTCAAGCTTCCATTCCCCTAATTCAAGCCAACACGCTGACCTCAGCGACTGGTCTTCTATGGGTTCACAATGAAATGTCAAATCGACAACATCGCAAAGTTTGGTCAGTCGGTGCTGAGCTTCCTCACGGCGATCTGTCAGCCATAAATGTTTTAAAAATGCAAAGTAAAGTTTGTACTGGACGGTCAATCTTTAAAGAAATCGTTGTGCAATCAAAGAGTCAGTTTTTCTTTTTCCATATTGTCTGTCGGCTATACTGAAAGTTTTCTGTGAATTCACTTACCGTTCTAACCCTCCAGCCTTTGCGACCAATTTTCGACTCCATTCGTGGTGAGTTGAAGTATAGTCAGGGAGATAGGCACACACATTCTCGTTTGTCACAAGATTGTCAATAATCTGTGAAACTGGTGATACTTTCAGAGCATCGTTGAGTTCTTTTCTGAGATCAAGAAACTCTGCTACACCAAATCCAAACTCACTACCATCCAGGTTTACACCAAGCCTTTCAAGCGGCGCCAGAAGAACTCGCTCCGCTAGTTTGAGACGTTGTGCCTGACGAGATAGTTCGCTCAATGTCAAAGTTGCGTCTACTTCGTCTTCTGGCCCAAGTATCAAAGATCTGACAGCCATGATAGAATATTGCACTTCAGCATCCACACGACATCCAGCCAGCCGGTCTCTCCAAACAGATAGAAGCCTTTCACGAGCTTCGTGTATATTAGGTCTATTTGCAGGATGACAGTGAGCTCCCCCTTCAAATTCTTTTTCAATCTTTCGGTATTCAATTATTTCTTCCATTTCAGCGAGAGTTTGAGCAGTCACAATACTCGGATAAGCCCGATTATAAGACTCTGCCATCAATGCTGTGAAACGGCCATCCATTGCCTTCCTTGCCGCATCAATTGCCGTCGCAGCCATTTGCCACTCTTCTCGGTGGATGTGTAAAATCGCAGAGAAGAATGCCCCATCAAAATCCAGTTTTGGAATGCTCCCATCACGTGAACCTGAGGTACCCGGCGGGCCGGCGGCACCTGTTGAATCATTCCCCTGTCCATGAGTCAATTCAGAAGAATACTTCTCAAGATCATCCCATCTACCTAGCCTCCATGCAGCCTTTGCACACATTTTCAGAGCCTTTTTCTGCTCTCTTAAAGCCACGAGAGAAGAGTGCGATGCAACGGAGGTGTCGAGGATCTCGTTTTGAAAGGCAGTCCCGGCACTAATTGTTGACCAGTTGTCTTCAGCAAGCTTCAGTACTTTTCTCCACTCTCCACTCGAGCTTAAACATCTCATACAACCCAGTGCTGCATCGAAATCGTTAGGATTTCGCAGCAATTTCTCTTCGTAAACCTTTAGTGCGTCAGTCCAAGATCCTAACTTTGCCAACCAACGCTCCTTGTTCTCTGCAAGATCGAGAGAGTTCATATTCTTATCTTGTCGATCTTCTGTTGTCCAAACGACACTGTAAAACATCTCGTGAGGGTTCTGTTGACGGGCAAACCCATTCGAGCTGAAAGTCCCAATAGACATGTCATCATTCACTTGCTGTTCCTCAAACGTCATCGTGGCAGATTTTAGAACACCAAGTGCAGCCTCTGTTGAAATTTTATGCAAGCAGGTTGTGAGATCTAATTCCTCAAAACAGTCGTTGTGTTAGTGATAAAGCCATCCTTACCTTGAAGATCAAGTTTTCGATTGATACTGATAAGTGCTTCCACGCAGGAACTGGAACTGTTCATACTGTGTTCACGTTCTTTGTAATGAAGAGCCTTGGCGTAAGCCCTACATTTCAACGCAAGATTGGCCAAAATTGGGATAGCGATCGGGAGACCCCCAGATGGATCGTGCTCCATGAATTCAGCCAAGTTCAAAAGGGCTTGCAAAATTTCAGGGGAGACATCAGAAATGAAAGCAGTTTCTAGTGCGTGGACAAGGTTGACTCTGTACGTATGATTTAGCTCTTTCCAACAACAAACGAATGCTGCGCTAAAGAGCTCCCGAGACAGAGGCTGGTATGCATGTGCAAGACTCGCAGAGGCTCGTAGAGCGGGTGAAGGTGCCTCCCGTAGTAGTTGTATTCCCAAACGGCGCATCCACTCATCCCAATCGTCCCTCGAGGCACATTGCGATACATCCCACGCCCGATGTAACTGCGACTGGTTTATTTTAGATTTATTTGGCTGATTCAATGTTTGTTGATACATATTTGTAACGACGTCGAATTCACTTGACGAATTGTCGAAGTGCTGAGCTATGCCGAGATTATCAGTGAAAATCTGTTGGTCAACTCCAGTTAGTGCCATCGAATCTTGCCTTTGCGGTGCACGGTGTGTTTCTGTCATGAAGGGATTCAGATAACTTCTCTGTAGAGGCGAAGTCTCCAATCCTTCGATTATCTCATCGTACTCCTGTAGGCCAGTCTTTCTCTGTACGGAAACTTTTTGGCTTGGGGATTTGTCTTGATTCTGGCCTTCTATTTCGATGTAAAAGATACTTTCTTGCCAATCAATAATGACGCTTCTTACGACACTGTGGTAAAGCTGCATCCACGTCTTTATTCCAAGTTGTCTCGCACATACGCATATCGTACGGATAACTGCCAAGCCAATAGACCTGTTAGACTTGCATTTGTCTCGCAGCAATCTAATCAGAGGTTGAACTATCCGGGCAGACAAATAACCTGAATAAGCATTTTCCTCTCCCCAATATGGCATCACAGGCTTGTTTGAATTACTAGTCCCTTCGCATTCAAGTAAGGCAGATGTTGTCTGCAACATCAAGATGCTTAAATTCTCGATTTCTTGACTCGTCACCCAGTTGTCTGGGCCTATCAATTGGTCTGATATCAACGGAAGAAGGGAATCGCCTAGCTTCAGGAGTGCAGGCACAAGAACATGCAGGTAGTCTCCGAGAACTCCTTTCAGACTTCCAATGCTGCAAAGGATCAGTCGAACGCGTTCTGTTTCTTGAAGTTCTCTTCTATGATGGACTGGTAGATCACTTGAAACCCATTCAGATATTTGTATCTCATCAAGACTTTTCAGATACAACTTAATAAGCCTAGGAACAAAAAATTTAAACTCGTCGGGAACACCAACTGCAATATGAGATATCAAGCTGAATATGGTTGAGATGTGTCTCGATGTCCAGAAACTTTCGACGATATTGAAAATATCAGCAACATAAGGTCGTAAATGCTCTCGGACTATGCCGCTCAAAGTTGCAACCTGCTTTAGTAAAGATTCCCGAAGGTTCGTTGGCCCGCAAGCACGAATTGTAATCAAAACGTGTGGAACAACCTGGTTCAGGAAAGAAACACAACGAAGCCCGAGAGATTTAAAAATAAACATTATTGCCTGCATCACCATTCCGTGGTGAACAGCTAAAGACGAATTCTTGAAAACTCGCATTAGAGCCTGAATTGTTACCGTCGGATAAAATTCGTCATCATTTGGAGTCATTCGACGAGCTGCTGTATGACTCGACACGGGTTGAGCAACCATTGCATACTGCTCATACATCGCTAAATGAACCGGCAGATCGTCGTCGAAAACGTTTACTTTTTTGAATGATTCAGCCTGAGATAATACAACCTTTTTCCCTTGAATAGACGACGATATTGCCTTTCCTGTACTTTTTGAGAAAGAAAGACGCGACACTCCTCGACCAGCGTTTACACTATTCTTCGTGCTCAGAAGGGAGTTAGCCCCTGGATTCAAAGTGTCGTCATTTGGCCCAGTGTCTACGCCATCGGTATTGACGACGTTGTCGTCCTGAACAATAAAGTAAGCGCCACCTACCGCCCCACCTTTCCTTGCCTGAGGAGCTACAATATTATACAGATCAGGATCGAGTGCTCCGAGAACACCTAGCATACGAATCACCTCTCTTCGAAGGGACCAAGGGGCTCTTTTGGTTCCGGGTAAGATGTCTGTGGCTTGAGATAGAAGCTTTGGATAATCAATGTATGGCTGAATAACGTAGCCAGTTGAGCCCGCAATCTGAGCGAGAGTTCTTAAGCTAGCCCTTTGCTTGCTAGCACTACTCTGGTCTTGTAGAGTGTCAAGGATGATCGGAACTACCTCATTCACCCAGGGCTGCAATGCCACCCCTGCAGTTTTGGCAAGTTCTCCAAGCGCCTCCATAGCAGCGGAAGCAAGACGAGGTGTTTTGCCATTCAAGGGTAGTGTTTCTATCATTGCAGGGAGAACGGGATGGATCAACCGCCGGAGCGAATTTGATCTCAAGAATACAACTAGCAGCCGGGTAGCTTCCTCCCTACTTCTACCACTATCAACGCCACATTGAAGTTCAACAATAACTTCCATCAAAAATTTCCTCATAGCTGGTAATATCGGAGCAGGATTGAATGATGCTAGTCGACCTAGCAGACTAACTCCTGCAGCTCGGGTAGCTAGAACTTCATCTTGTAGCAACAGAAGAAGATGCTGTATTAAATCTACCTGACAAAGAAATGGATCGTATCTTGAATCAAGGGCTCTGACAACACATAATCGAACAACCGGAGAGGTATCAGATACAGCTACCTGGAGTAATATATCCAATACGTGTTCTATGATCACCGCAGATTGACTTCCAACCCTTTTCCTGTGCATAATCCCCGGAGGAACTAGCAACGCGCAGCACGTTAGCACAGCTGCTCTTCGTACCTCGCTCGACGGATGTGACAAGTAGGGGGCCGCAACATTTTGTACAAATGGAAGAATAGGAACCACGGAATCAAAAGTTGTCACTCTCCCCATGTAGTCACCAAAGGTTCCCAGAGTTTGGAGACTGAGTACGAGACTCTTAACAACAGCAGGACTACTAGACATATTGATCCGAATTGTTGGATCTTCTGTTCCGTCTTCGATTGGTGAGGAAGGTCTGTTATCCACCAGCAAAATTTTGGGCTGCTGCTTGCAATATCCATCCATCGAATTTTGTGTGAAAAGAAGAGGATCACAGAATACTCTAGCAGATTGAATGCCTGCAAGGCAAATCGAAACTTCCTGAAAAAGTCTATCTTCAATGATGCTCTGCTGTTCCGGAACACATTCTGCTATCTCATGTAAGCATTGTATTAGGTCGTTGCTCAAGCCGACACCAAACATATCATCAACTAATCCAGAGATGTACGGATGCGCCATTTCTCCCAGAGCTTTGATGAGATCCGCAGCACAGTGAAAGGCAGCTATGTGTATGGCAGAAGTCTTTCGTGAAGACGGAGCTGACCGATATTTCAAGCCATTACTGACCAAGTCAAATATCTCGTCCAATCTTTTTCGGATAGAACCAGTATCACATAATTGAACAATATGTTTCTCTCCTGGGTTTTGAGGGTCATCCGTTATCTTGACAGTAGGAACGTTGCCGCCGATGACATCACCGGTGATTGGGTCAACCAATGCTAAAACCATGAGACCGATCGAATTAAATGCTACAGGCCTTATATCAACACCGACTCGGGGAGGTGGCGAAGTTGTGGCAGTCGCAAGTAAGAAGTCCAAACTTTGGTCAAGGTAGCGGCGAGCAAATATTCTTGGACATCGTTGCGCCAGTCGGGGTAGTAGCCGTACTAATTCCAAACGTATCAATATTTTCGGGTGATCCATGAACTCCATAATCTTATTGCAAACTTCATCGTACCGTGGCAACATAAAGTCGCGAGTATTGGCAATCATAGTTGCAACGATCAGTAGAGATCCATGCTGTGAGGTTTCCACTTTAGAAGTAACGGAAGAGTTTGTCCAACTATTTTTGGGTGTTTGCATATCTAGGCCTTCCATGACAGAAAAGTGAACTTGACAGAGCAAGCCAGTCAGTGACATATGTTGTCTTTCCATCAAAATCTTGAGGCACTGAGAAAGTGCATCGGCAGCGCAGGCTCGAACAATCGGTTGTGGATCACGAACCGCCTGAAATATGTAATCTAAGAATTCGTTTGATCCTCCATGACCAAAAGGTGATTGCGAGGTTTTAGAATAAAAAGCTGTTGGAGCATGAATGGCAAATTCCTTCAGCGCTAGAGTAGCAGCCAGTCTGGAGAAATGAAAATAAATCAAGCATCAGCGTCAGTGATCGAAATCGTAACAACGTACGAACAATTGACGGTCTTAAAACCATTTGTCAAGTAAATGATTCCTCTTAATTCTCTATGCATTGTTTTTCCAAATACTTTGATATATAACATACCGTCGGTCAGAGCGATCCGTTCGCAACCATTCCAATGCTCGAGTTACTTCCGATTCGACAAAGTCCATGTTTGCCGTCCGGGTTGCCATGTGCCCGAGAGCTTTTGAAACGGCAGACAAGAACTCATAATTTCCCCGTGCTGATCGCAAGCCTCCACTCAGAGTGTTTGCAAATTTGATCGCCTTTCGTTCCTCGTCTGCACTAGGCGCGTCAATCAGCGCATCCAAAGCTGCCAACCCTGCCATTCTGCGATCCATGTTGTCTTTAGAATGTACTAACGCAAAAACACTTGTGAAGGTTTTGCTTTCCACTCTACCGTAATCTTCGAGGGACATTTCGTGGGCACAGATCCACAACAGAGATGCCAATTCAGTTGCAGCCTCGTGGTTTGCTCGATCGCGCTTCAAACTTTCCTTGTAGTCCAAAGTGTTGGAACCAGTGCTTGCACCAGAAGCACCGGTAGCGCTGATAGTAGCGTTTCCATTCACTGCACTCCCTCTTTGAAGATACGACAAATCCGCGGTAGTAGGTAAGGAAGTGTGACTACTCTTACTATTGTTGAGTGAATTGAAATGATGGTAAAATGGAGTCGAAGACAGGAGCAAGCCTACAAAATTGTTGGAAGCCGAATTTCCCGCCACGTTCATATCAGTAGATGAAGATGATATTATTCGCAACTGTGGGGTCACCTGTAAAAGATCTTCTGCGTGCTTGGGGGGAGGAGATATCAACAATGGATTCAATCTCGCTTTTTGTCGTGGACTGGCTGGGKTGGTATTGATTTCCTGGACACGATTGGCTGACTGAGGTAACTTTCCGCAGTTAGGACACTTGGGCTCGCGCTCTGTACGCTCCTGGTGCAGTGGAAATTTCATTCGTTCGTTATTTCCACCGGTAGTAGATTGCTGCTGTTGCTTTTCGCATCCGCAAAAATTTGCTCTTGAATCGATACGACCAAAGGGAATAGCGGAAGAGGCTTTGGGAGGCTTGAACATCGTGGACTTAAGAGTAGCTTCATCATCCGCGATGCCTAACACTGCTTCCGAAGATCCCCATGGGTCGCTTCTCGAATCCAATGCAAGCTGGGGACCTCCCGATGCCGCAGATGCGACAACATTTTTTCGTTTCAATTCCTGTATTATTTCATTCAATGGACTCAAGTTGGGATCTGAAGATCGGTCGTCTTTGATCTCAGGAAAGTAACTCATCTTACCAGTATAATGTATGCGAGCTTTGCTGAGTGTTTAGATGGTATCTGAATACGTGAATGATAGATACTATTCCGTCGACTTCGATCATTCCATCGATAGTTTCAAAATCTTTAGACAAGCATTCAACAACTGAGTTCAAAAACTGATGCGATGCAAAGAACTGGAATTAATTCAGTTTCGTTATATGCTGAGAAATAATCGTAGTCACCATTCTTTCCAAGCTTGTTAATCGTTTGGCCTTTTGCATGTTGTCGCCGTCGAGATGATGTTATCGAAGAAACTGGTGATGATGGGTGCCAGAAAGGGATAATCGTAGATCCTGCTCGATTTGGACGTTACCTACCTTGGCCGATCACTTCCAACTGAAGAAGTATCTCACCGTACGGTACTACATTAACTCGTACCGTACTACTGTACGGTAGTAGGACAGAAAATATCGAGTATGGTGCAGTGACGAGTACCCAAGTACTTATTTGTACGGATACGGGTACGAGAACCAGTATTGGCTCGCTAACGTAAATAGTTTCTACGTACCGGTACGTACCAGGTTGTAGGGTGAAGTGGAAGAGTGAAAAGACCTGTTTTTTGTCAGGGTACTTTGGAAGCTCGTTTCTCGTAGTACTACTACCTCCGTCCCACAATACTAGTACACACTTTGCACCTCTCGGGTTGGACTACGTAAGCTCAATATTTGGGCGATTTGACTCCTTCTTTAGTTATGTTGATCTTGTTTAATACTTTTTGAATGTGTCATGACTTATAATGTCGTACCAGCATCCTCAATAATGGAATAAGCACCCTGTACTACGTCACAGTAGGCAGCAGTAAAATATCAGATCCAGCAGTCAAAAGCACCAAGAGGGACGAGGAGAAGAAGAAGAAGAAGAAGAGTTCTTTAGTAGTATGCAAGTTGGGTGATGATCATGCACCACAGAAATGGCTTCCACCCTCCACAATACCCTTGACTTGTTTGGGCTACTAGTCCTGTTAGTACATGGATAAAAAGGACAGTACTGAACCCTACATGACCCTATTATTCCTCAAATTGCCAACTCACTACTAACAAATCCACCACCACAACTGCAATGACAACTATGCAAGAATTAATGGTGGAAGAACAAGAACAACAAGAGGGACAGAAAACACCAGCAACTAAAAGTACCATAGAGGCACAGAGCTCACAAAGTAACAACAAGGACAAACCAAGCCTGGTGGAGACCAACCCTCCTTCCTTCACTCTCCAGGGGGGAGATCCTCTTCCTGAACAAGAGCAAGGAGGAGCAAAGCCCTAGGGACACTCCTGGGTCCAGCAACAACAATGCCTTCAACACTGCTAGATATAGAAACAATAATAATAACAATAAAAACACCCCATTCCTATCTTTGTCTAGAAAAAAGTTAGCTAGCAACAACAAGAAGTAAAGCCAATCACACTGGCTGGTGATGAACCACTCTACAACATCATGGTTGCAACTCATTGATCCTCATCTTCATCATGGCTAATAATATTGACCTGTCTGGTGTTGATAAGTTTCATTTGTCCATCATGCTCTGGTCACTTTGTAAAAGCAGATGGTGTCTTTGTATGATATTCTTCTGGTGGTTGCTTGATAGCCTGGTGGTACTAGTATTTTTGTGCATTTACATCTTTGCTACAAGCACTAGTACTACTCCTACTCCTACTACTCCTACTACTACTACTAGAACTAGTAGGAGCAGTTGCCTTGGATATGATGAGTTCCCAAGGCAGTCCACGGTGTGCAAATCAAAACACAGTGATTGTTGGAAGAGGTTCCAAGTTCCTCTACTATGTATTACTTCCTACTATATTGTTGGTGATGAACAATAGTGTAATTGAAATGGGTTGGAAAACTGCTGCATAATAAGGTTAAGATTGTTAGCCAAGGAAAGTAGATACCAAACCCTTGTACTAGTAACCTTCTTCTGCAGGAACAAAATGCTAGCACCATTGCTCATGGAAAGGGTTCTTACTACTAAAGCCAGATTCAAAAAATGCAGTAGTAAACATGGAGAAAGTGAAGAGGAGGAACTACTGTGTTGTGAAGAAGCAAAGAAGGTAATATATCCTAGTACTAACTCATCCTCAATGGGGGGGGCAGAGGAGGGGCTCACCACCACCAACTGGGATCAGTAGCAGTAAGAAGATGACAAGAAGGAATTGATATAGAAGCTGCAATGCTGCTTTGGTGTTGTGCAAAGAACATTGCAAAAAGTTCATTCATCACATGCAATATATTCTATATATAAATATATCTATGATGCTTGACTTTTTTTTTCAATATATTTTTTGGTGACTTATTGGGATGCAGAAAATAGAGTAGTGTGGAAGGCAGTGAAGAAAAATATTGTAAAGAACAATGTTGGGGCTAAAACACAATGTTGTGAGAAAACGCCAGGAGATCTTCAACATGACACTAGAGGGAATCTCTTCACATGCAACCAAGAGTACATTTTAATAGTGCTTGCTAGTATGTTTGAGTATCACTTCAACACAAGTCACTGGAACAACAATACTAATCATCACCATCAGTTTTCTCCTGTACTATAACAACAACAAGAACAATTAGTAAATACTACTACTCATCATGGGAGTACTAGTAGCAGCGGCATTGTGAGGACTATTAGTACCCTTAGTTAACCATTTTGTATCCCATGAGCTCCTATCATTTAAAATTATCTATGACAAGGTGTATCAGTCAGTCCCACATAAGGGGGGGGGGGTCCTCTTAGTGTATCATCAGTACTACTTGTCTACAACAGGCCAAGTAATGGCATTAGCCTCCTTATCTGCACTCAACATATTACTCTGTGGTTGGCATCCTCACCCTCTGTAGCAGCTTCCACATCAGGTTCCCCATATTCAGCAGACAACATCTGCATCTGCACTGTCAATGGCCTCCAGCATATTGTCCATTTCAGAGGGTTACTATTAGTAGTACTACTACACCACCTAGTACGGCACTACACAAAATAGCATTATCTTTTCTCCTTATTCAAACAATTGTTGAAGACAAGACAGAAGAAGAATGTACTGCAGAGGAATTTGTCACAATTTCACAAGAACAACATTTAGTGTATCAGTTATCTGAAAGATTTATTCAAATCAAACAATATCATTAGAACACAAAACAATCTCAACAACAGCAGAAAAGTATCTTCCCCAAGACCCCAAGCTACTGAATCAGTGACTCAACTGGCTACTGGCTGTACCATCAGCAGCAAGTGCTGCACCACCAGCTGCACCACCAACTCAACTACTGGTACCAATTCCTGCACCAACTGCACCAGTATGGAAAAATAAATGCCGATTATCATTTTGGATACTACATTGCTCAAGTACTACTAGTAGTAGTAGTACTTCCTGCACCTTCTGCTGGTATAAGAACCTTTTTCACAAAGTACAGGTATTCTAGATCAGAACCATCAAGAATTATAAAAAATAATTACATTCAGTATACAGCACTACAAGATGACACAATACCCAACAGGGAGTATTTTCTTACTTTATAGAGCTATACTGCGTGCCTTCATCTACTACCATCATACTCTGACAATTATGTTTCATATGATATTTTTCAAAACAGGAAATCGAAAGGGGGAAGAGGGGATCAGAAGAGGACAACTATGATGCTACCAGGACACCACAAACAAGTGAGGCTAGTCAGCAACATTGCATAGTGCAGGTAGTAAAGTGATTTGAATTTGCAATACTACAATTATTACTAGTAGTAGTTATTGAATACCGAAATATCCTGGGGGCGGGATCGAGATGACATAATGTTATAAAGGGCTTAAATGGGATGTAATGCTATATTTTTCATGATATTGAATCTATCTATTTACAAAATTCCTGATGTTCTACTGCGATGCATCATGTAGTATCTGTTTGAAACAGTATGGAACAAATCTGACACCGTCGCCCTTGTAGAACTTGCTCTGAAATTCAACCCAATGCAAACGGAGGGAATGAAGATAGCATTCCAGTACATCCATCATCAACAGGACACCAAAAGTGATGCCAGCAAATAGCCCAAAACCAAAATAAACATAAATGAACGAGCTCATGTTCAGGGTAGACAGCAAACATTTGTTCCAAAAGACGGTGGCAAGCTCAGAGTGAGCAAGGGAAAGTGCCCAGAGACGAAGGTACGAGGCGGTGTTAGAAACCATTCCAAGAACGAATTCAATTGTTTCAATACCCTGGTGAATAATCACCTCTGAAAAGTCGTGTTCTTCGTGGTCACCGTGATCATGCTCGTCTGCATAGAGCGGGAGCTCCTCGCTAGCATGTTGAATGGGAGTATGTGTCTGTTGCTTGATGAAATACGGCTTCCCTAGCAACAAAACAGGGACAGAAGCAAGCGCAAGGAAGAGGAGTAGATTTTGAATGAAGGGCTGTCCGGGGTACATAGGCTCGTCCACGAATCCAGGTGCAAGGGCAATATTGATCAGGGTAGTAATCAAACCAGGTGGCTGGCAACCATCGCCAGAACCCCCGTAATCCAGAGGACACAGGTCCGCGGTTTTATCACCGTCTTTGCAACTGTAACCCCATGGTGTACAGTAACCATTTCCATCGCTCGTTGAGCACGTCTGCCATTCACTCTGCCACAGGTCACCGGAGGGGTCAAAGCAGGTGGCGAGTGTCATTCGTGCATTCCAGTCGATCGTCCATTTGAAGAAGATTAGGACGACCATGTAGATGAACAGAGAAGAAAATACCACCATTGGAAAAACTTCAAAGTACAGATCAGCCTTCTCGCCGAAATGGATAGCATTCAGACCTCTAATACAAGTACCTAAGAACATCTGACAGATGCCGAAAATAACACTCATTTTCATCTTGAAAGAATTGAAAAACAGAAGCTCATTTGACGCAACGTGCCAAATTGGGTCCAAACCAAATGGATAGACGGATTCGTTTGACCCATATTCAGCGTCAAGTGATGCAACCGCACCTTCTTCTACAGTTCCATATTCCTGACCATCGAACTGCCAACGACTTCCGAAAAGATTGAGCCCCAACGAAAAAAAATCGTTGTATATCAAACCTGCATAAACAGCAAAGAACCCCATTAATAGAAACATGTAGCGCATTGCATGGAAGGCCTGGGCTTCTTGGCCTTGTCCCTTCAGATTTTTTTCTGCGTCCCTTTCGTTCCAACACATAGCAGCACCTGCTAAAAACAAAAATGTACCGTGACCTATGTCACCGTACATCACTCCAAACAGGAAAGGAAACGTAGCTGCGGTGAATAAAGCAGGATTTCCCTCTCTATAACGCGGAATACCATACGTATTCACGAACTCTTGATAAGCATACGTGAACTTGTTTGTCACGAAATGGGTGGGAGGAGTAGGCCACGGTTGAGGAACATGGTCAACGTGACTTGGCATTCCCATATCCATGTTGGAGTGTGCCCTTTCCACAACTTCCCGAAGCGCGTCCATATTTTCGGACGGGACCCATCCTTCCCCGCGAAGCATGCCAGCGACATCAGCTTTGAACATATTGAGGGAATGATATATTGCTTTTTCCCGCAAGACAATCCATGACCACCTCTCACGATGCTGAGCAATCTTGCAGCATAATCGGTAGCGCATATCTTGATTTTTCAGCAGAACTGTTCGAGAGTCCACAAGCTCTTGGGAATTTTCCGTCAGCATGCTAGTGACTGAAGTTGCATCATCCATATCGGGTATGCTGTAACGGTGGGCCTGGAATGCGTCACAGATTTTCTTGAGTTTGGCTTCAATTGCCTGCGATTTGTAAAACACAATAAACACAGACTTTTGCAGTTGTTGTCCAGTGGTTGGATCTGTGATATCCTGCTGAATGCGAGCGAATCTAACGTAGCAGTTACCTCGGGTCATGCGAAAAACCATCCGCTCGAAACGCTGGCACTCTTCGGTAGCAACCACACCAGTTAGGAACGAAAACCGCATGTCCAGATCGGGCCGGTTGTCTGCGGAATCCAATAAACTAGCTCGTTCGCTTGAACGTCCACCCCGGCGTTCGGAGCTTGCTAGGCGGGGAGCATCGGTGTTGAAGAAATAGCGTGCCTTTTCGTATACTTCTTGCAGTTCGACCTTTTGGTTGTACTCCACAGTGAGCTTTTCGCTGTACGAGTTTAATTCTTTCAATTGTGACTCATACCCTTCGAGCTCGACCTCCAGCGATTCCAAAAGTTTTCCGTTGGAAGCTTCCCCAGTGCTCGACACAATGGGACTGCCCTCCAAAAAGTCATCAATCGCGCCGGCAGAGGTGCTTTGCAGATTAAACTTGTCGATCTCAGCTGTAAAATAGCGGAGCTTGCGCTCTAGTTCGTCGCATCGCTTGACATAGGAAACGTATCGACGTTGAAAAGGCGTCAAATCCGGATTTAACTAAGTCACAAACGAACCAGTCGTGTTATGTTTCCAACGCCAAAAAATCTGTGAGATGGAGTCGTCAGTTATGAACATAATGCATCCTCTGCTTAATGCACCTGATCTCGGAACGAAAGCAATAAAGTACACTGTAAATTGAAACATGCTTATCATCAAAGCTGAAATAACGTACATCTGTGAACTGGATCACTCCCAACTTCCCAAGGTCTGCTAAACAGTCATGAGAAGCATCTTCATTGATAATGATGGATATATATTCCATCGGCTCAGACCGGAACCATTTCGCCATGTTGTATATTCCACTGATCTATTTGAGTCTAATTTATGTGTGACGTATACGTCGAAGCTACTTTCTTAACAATAATAGACTTCAGTTACCTGTGGCAATGCATTATGGTGGCGTGATGAGCATGATGATGTTCGATTGTTTCCGGGGTGTGTTTCGGATGACTGCGAGCACCTGAGTGTCGTGCTATTCTGTAGAAGTAATACAGTAATTGCGCACACAGATTTTTGTGAACACAGCCAGATGACCTCGTTCGAGTCTTGTTAAACACTATCCTATTCACTAAAGATATGAAACATATGAATAGTATCTATGTTGTTGTAGGCGATGACGTCAGTAATTACACCATCGACACTCATTTTTAACGCACCCGATCACGCACGCATCCAACCTCGTACAATAACGTACGAGTACCGATTAAAAAATAAAATGCTGACAGATGTCTCGACTGATGGATCGGATTTGAACTTAAATTCATTTCGATTCTCATAAGGTTCGCACGGATAGCGTAATGCATAGGTACCAGGTTCGTACTCATATGGAATCCATTTCCCATTACCGCATAAATACCCAAATTCAACAAGCAACTTAAATTTTTTATCTCGTGAGACATAAAACAAAACATTATTTCAAAGATGGTTCAACTACTCAACTCTTCCTACGCAATGATTCTCTTGGCTGCCACCTCGCGGTTGTCGTCTGCCTTTGTCCCCACAGCAAAGTCCTTCGGCCGTGCCTTGACAAAGGTGGCTGCGAGCGACAATGACTTCGACGACTTCTCATCGAAGGTTGCTGTTATGTTCCCGGGTCAAGGCGCACAGTCTGTTGGTATGTGCAGCGAGGTCGTGAACGACGTTCCTGCCGCAAAGGCCCTCTTCGACGAGGCTAGTGAAATCTTGGGCTACGATCTCTTGGAAGTCTGTACCGAAGGCCCCAAAGAGAAACTCGATTCTACTGTCGTTTCGCAGCCTGCTATTTTCGTTGCCAGTATGGCAGCCGTAGAAAAATTGAAGCAGGATGCCGGTGCCGAAGCTGTCGAGGAAGCTACCTGTGCCATGGGATTGAGTTTGGGTGAATACTCTGCTTTGTGCTTTGCCGGAGCCATTTCGTTCGCCGATGGTGTCAAAATCACCAAGGCACGCGGAGAAGCCATGCAAGCCGCTTCCGATGCCGTCGATACCGGTATGGTTTCCGTCATTGGTCTCCAAAGTGACAAGGTCAAAGAGCTTTGCGAGGTTGCCAGTGACAAGTCCGGAGAAAAGGTTCAAATCGCCAACTTTTTGTGCAAAGGAAATTATGCCGTCAGTGGCGCTACCGCAGCTTGCGATAAGCTTGCAGAAATCGCCAAACCCGAATTCAAAGCCCGAATGACCGTCAAGTTGGCTGTCGCTGGAGCTTTCCACACTGGTAAGTAAATGAAAGTTGAAGAGGCGGAAATCGCAAGTTTTCTCGTCTTTTTGACCGACGACGAAACGTTACGTTGTTTCGAAAGTAATAATTTTGTCGAGTAACAGTCCTCTAACCCAATTTATCTACCTGGTACTAATTGGATTGCAACTCTTACTATTTCATTCTTAATTTGAAGACTTCATGGCTCCTGCTGTTTCTTCGTTGGAGGATATCTTGAAGGAGGTCGAAATCAAGAAACCCCGCATTCCTGTCATCAGCAACGTTGATGCCAAGCCCCACTCCGACCCTGAAGTCATCAAATCCTTGTTGGCCACTCAAGTAACATCCCCAGTATTGTGGGAAAACACTATGGACTTGATGCTGTCGAAGGATTTTGAAAAGGCCTATGAATGTGGACCCGGAAAGGTCACAGCTGGAATCCTTAAGCGATTTTCCAAGACTGCAGCATGCGAAAATATCAGCGTATAAGAAACATGTATTCAGTCGTTCATCATGCACGCTAACAGTACCGCAGGGTAATGTGCGAAGGTAGGCTGGAAAATAACTAAATCCTACAAACAAGGCTGTTTGTATAAACCAAATGCTAAGTAAACGTTTCATGTCATCATGTTACACATCGGAGTGTCAAATGCTGTACAAGTATGAACAGAATTCAATATATCATTCAATCACATTTGATTCGAGAGATGAGTCTAGCAACGCGCAACAGGAGCCCACTAAAGTTAACTGAGATTTTGTCGACGAGACAGACAAAGCAGTGTTCGAAAGCATATTGTAGTCACCTGTGGATTTACTGTTCTTATTTCACTTCACTATTGTTTATGAGAGCCCTCGCACCCTTCGTCTCGTCGAATCGTCGTCGCTGCCGCCAAAAGACGGATCCGAGAGATCGATTTTCTGGTCTTCAAATTCCTCGTTGTCCCCATAAAACAGTCCATCGCTCTCTGATGCCACGTCGTTGTCAACGTCGGAGTATCCTCCGTTACTTGCTGCGCTGGATGCAGACAGTTCGACGGTACCGCTTGCATCCGAGTAGTACTTCTGCCGTCGGCGACGGCAGAGGAGTTTGGATCCGTAAAAGTAAAGACAATAACACCCCGCCATGGCGCAGAAGGCGGTGACACCTTAGCAGTAGTAGCGATGTGTTCAATTAGAAGAGCATTGCATTCATTTGAAGAGAAAAAGAAAGATAAGAAGAATATAGAAGGATCACACTCATAGATATAGCAATAAACATGACTTTCGTTTATTGGTCTTGTCGTCAGAAGTATGCGAACAAAACATTTCACTTACCCCAACCTATTCCAGATAGCATGCTGCTCCCTTTAGATACTTGAAATCGTTCTTCGCAGGTCTGCATCGTGCACTCCTCGCAGACGGGACAATCGTTACACCCGTTGCTGTTCTGTGGGACCTCCGATTCCGACACAGGGTTGATGTCCTGACGAAATGTGTTAAAGGGTTCGTGATACACAAAGGCACGGACCATATCCAGGGCGATGCTTGGAACGTCCATAGGGACCATGTGGCCCGAGTCCAGTACTTTCAAAAAGCCCAAGTTTTGAAATTCCTTCATGTACCCTCCCAGCTTGTTTGTAGAGGCAGCATTCCACCCGTATCGCTCCGCATTGATGTATTCGGCTCGGTATTTCCAGGGCAAAGCCTCGAGAGCATTTTCGTTGCCGACGTGGTTACAAATCAGATCGTGGACGCCGTTGAAAAAAAGGAGGCGTGTTTTCTGAGTGTCGTCCTCCAGCACTTCGACAATATCGCCAACTACTCCCAACCCGTCCTGGTGTTTCAATGCGTTGTAGGGTGGATCGGTGCACTCGCGGTAGCGCTGCCCTGACTCCCAGCTGGGCATCGCGTGGATCGCTGACAGCACCGACTCTATCGGAGCGTTGGCAACGATGTGGGTGCGCCCCAGAAACGCCTCGACTTCCTTGTGGCCGGGGGGAAAGTCCCTTGCGAAGCGACGTTTTTCCCACACACGCTGATCATATTGCGACACCACAAAGTCATTGCCCTTTCCCAACGAATTGGACACGACTTTTTCGAGCAAACCGAAGCACGCGCCAGAAGTGTACCTCCCTTTGCGTAAATCGGCCTGGCATTTTTCTTCCGCAAGGGCCAGGGACCGTTTCTGGGCCTTGCCGATCAATCCGTACCCGTACGCTGCCTCGTGTGCTGAATACTGATACACGGGATCGAACCAGCCGTTTCCAATGAGGGCACCACTCAAGGGCATAACGACGCCTCCGTTTTGTCTTTGTTTCAGCGTTTTGGGGTTGGCGTTTTGTTTGCGGATGTAGTTCATCATGGACGGAATGTAGTGTCCAGCGTGGGACTCTCCACTGAAAAAAAAGGGCCGTCCAAGGGTTAAAAGACCATCGCTATTCTTTTGTACGTTCAGGTTTGGGCCGTGGAGTTTCATAAACTCGGTCAAGAAGTAATAAAAATCTTCGTTGACTCGTTGGTCGTTGTTCGGATAGTTTCCGCTGGTGGTAAACGCCAATCCCGTCCCCACGGGCTGATCGACGTACAAAACATAGGCAGGGGCATGGTGCCAGGAGTGCGGATCGAGTTTGATGTTGCCCCATTCACCGTTGCCGTTACCGGTATCCAACCGAAAGGGTCCGTTCTCGAGCCACAATCCGTCCATGCTGGAGCACGCGGGTCCGCCATTGAGCCAAAGGACCAGCGGAACGTTGGATTCGTCCTGTTTCACCCTTCCCCTGTCCTTTTCCTCTTGGAGAACCTTTGGATCGGGGGCAAACAACCAATAAAAGAGGTACCCGTCTCCCTTATCATTGACCGGAAGCAATCCAGCCCAATGCTTGGCCTCAAAATCCTTGAGAAGGGGAAGATTGGTCACCAGGTGATCGTCTGGCGTTGTGGCTTTCGGGACATCAACGTTGGTTCCAATGAGGCTTCGGCTACTGCCGTCGTCATTGGATACGTGTCTCAGCAGGGCACTAGTAGTCGTGGCTCCTTCGGACTCGTCGTTACTTTCGGTGAGCCTTCTTCCTGCCGTTTCGGATGGATTAGACGATTCCAGGGTCGGATTTCGCCGGCGCCCATCGACCCGAAAGATGCTCAGCGATAGGAACAGCAATAGCAGCAGTGAGCGAACCAAAACGCCGACACAGATAGAAGGTAACCTTGGAGCCCCACTCATTGTCAGCCTGTGTTGTCGAAAATCGTCCTACTTGCAACACTTGCAATTATCGTTATTTCTATATTTTCCGGAGTGTAAACGTCGTATGTAAGTACCTCCTTGAGTTTTTCGAAAGGAATGGAACGGAAGCGTCGGTTCCTGTTGGAAACATATCAAGGTTCCGTAATGTGATCTTCAGAGTACTTTACTCGATCGAGTTTGTCCTAAACCAAAGGTACGAGTAGTACGCAATACCGCGAAATCTCTGTTTTAACTTTAAGTCTTCGGAGCTCATTTTCGATTTTCGTTTCGGGAGTCATTGCTTATCTGTTCACGTATTTCTTGTACTACCGGTACGTAAAAATAACGGTACGAAAAGATGGTAAGAGTACGTACCGGTTCTTCACGTATCGTACTCGTAACAGCACCAATACTCGGTACAGTACGTGGACGTACGTTAATCCACGACTTCGTTCTCCCGAAGAAAAGTTGATCACTGATTACTGATTACTGTACAAGAGATAGTATCGTACCGTACGGTAGTAGGTACGTACTTACCTATACGAGAACGGAGAACGTACCGTGGGGGGTATTAGACCATAATGCAACAAAAAATACAACAGTATAGAATCATGTACAAGTCTACGTACGTACACTTCGCTAATATCCTACTCACCAGCACAGTATCGAAATCCCTCAACTGATGCCCATCAGTTGAGAATAATTACTGACACAATTTTCGATAAGGCAAATTCCGTGAAATAAACACAAGTCGTGAAGGTAATTCTCGACAATATCACGTCACGACAATGGTGGCACCATCTTCTTATCAGCTATTCAACTTGCTCCTCTTGTTGAGGATAACACACAGCAAAAGAAGTCACACTTACTACTAGCAATACTACTAACAAGAAAAAGCAGTCACACTTAACATACTATTTTAATGAAGCAAAGCAACCGAAGCAACGCATCGAAGCAAAGCAAAGCAACGCATTGAAGCAACAAATCGAAGCAACGAATCGAAGCAATGAAGCAAAGCAATGATGAAGCAAAGCAATGATGAAGCAAAGCAATGATGAAGCAAAGCAATCGAAGCAAAGCAATCGAAGCAAAGCAATCGAAGCAAAGCAATCGAAGCAAAGCAATCGAAGCAAAGCAATCGAAGCAAAGCAATGAAGCAAGCAACAGAAGCAATGGAAGCAACAAATCGAAGCAAAGCAACCGAAGCAATGAAGCAACATAAGCAACGAATCGAAGCAAAGCAACCGAAGCAA